GAGTCAACCTACAGGAGGACCAAGTGATTGATAGGAAACCCTCTGTGGGAAAGTACGGACTGCAGTGATCTGGTGCTGTGCATAGAGGCTGGACAGAGCACAGCAGGGTTTTCCTACCTCAAATAGAATAGACCAAAAAAGCTACTTCTATAAGGTAAAACTGCTACCAAATATAAGGAAGGGAAAAGGAACACTGAAGCTGTAATTGTGTCTCCCAAGATATATCCTCTGCTGATCTCCTGAGGAAACCTAAACACGAGGCTAAGTTTGACGAACTCAGAATAAGTGGATAATGTTAGATCAAATGGAAAGATAAAGATTCCAACCTAGCTATTCAGTATTGCAAAAAGAGAATACCTGTCAAGAAAATAACTAAAGCTAGAGGGTACAAGGGGCTACACTTACCTGGTGTAAATATCTACTAGTGCTACTTTTCGCCATATAGCCCATACAAGGAATTTGAAGACTACCTCGAAATACTTTGGAGACATTTTCTAGAAGCTTCATGCTTGGAGGTACCCAGGTCGTCTCTTCTAACTCACTAGCCTACCTAGGAGTTACCATAGACAAAGTGAGGTCATTCAGGCAGCATATACACCGGGTAACCATCAAGGCAAACAAAGTTTCGGCCAAGCTTGCACGAATCATGTCCAACACACATGGTCCAAGCAGTGAGTGCCGCAAGGTGTTATACAGGGTAGTGCAGCCAATCATCCTGTAGCCAGGGCGTTTACGATGCTTTTTCAGAAATCGCGGGGATTTGGCTAAAGAGGTACGGCGCTCAGCTATTGCGGTACCCACTCCCGACTTTGCTAGAAAGGAGAGGATCAAAAAGTCCCTTGAATTCGTGTTCACCGGAACAAACATACAAGTTAGGCTCCAGACTCCTACCGAAGACCAAGCCAAATCAGCTAATATCAAGGGAGCTGCCACCAAATACAAGGAAGGAAAAAGGTGATGGAACACTGAAATCGTAGTTTTGTCTGCAAGGATATAACCTATGCTGATCTCCCGAGGAAAGTCAAACACGCGGCTTATTTTGACGAACTCAGAGTAACAGCGAAAGGGCGGAGGAGCATACCAATTTAACAAGATAGTGGCAGGGCAACCCTACAAGTCCGCAGTATGGCAGGTCTACTAGTGAAGACAAGCGGCATCTGTACTACCTCTCCGAGGACGTATAAATCAAGTCCGTCATTTCTGGACCAAATTCGCAAAGTGGACTAGCTCTAAACGGCGCCGATGTCCGACAGCGTCCCGCCGAGGGTGTGCACGGACATCAGTACCTCTGAGGACGAGGAGGAGGTTCGACCTCAGTCATGCTCAGTAGAATTCAATCTGCGAAGAAAAGATTGAAGCATGTTCTGTGCGTCACAGATATTACAAAATTTCATTTACCGTCGTCGATAACTTTCTCAGGATGCTTATCCACCGCGAGACCAGACTCATTCGGATAGCTCTCAGAAACCCTGGGCGCTGAGGATCACCCTGCCGAAGAGGCACATGTCATTCTTAGTGGAAGACTAGCAAGACCTGAAGGACCTAATGAATTCCACCCGGACCTCCCGACTGTGACGATCATATCGGGGTAAATCTGCATATTCAATCACAATCGCTTAAGAGAATGAATATGCATGCCTTCATTTTGCTACCAGACAACTGTAAAGCAGCAGAAAAAAATTCTTGAGTTGTGGACCAGCAGTTCTGAAGATGAGGAGAAACTGTAAGTGGAGAGAGATTTTGAGGAGACTAGGAGACATCCGAGTGACTTCCTAGGATATATTCATCCTTTGGATGGATAAACCACTTCCGAGCATGAAGCAACCAAAGAAGATGCCTGGGAAAACCCATCATGAGCGAGATAAACTCGCAACCAAACACATCTAAGAGACACAAGGCAGCTTCACCGGGGACGTCTAAAAGGCGATCGCCTACTGCGTCCTGCTGGAAACGATTTACTAACTTTGAAGGGGAAGTTGAAATCATATATCTCACTGGAGATGACACCGATAAAGAAGCGGAACATATAGAACGAATAAAGATGAGAAAAACTAGAAGGATAATATGAAGAGAGAAAGCAGAAACTATAATAGTAAAAGATACAGGGTGCGGCAGAGAGGATGGTCGGTTTTAAAAAAATCATAAAATAGTTAATTTTTACTCGAAAACAAATTTATTGATGGAATCAAGTGTGGGAAATCACATCAGTCATGTGGTAGCCGAAACCGTTGATGCAGTGCTGGAGGCGTTCTTGGAAGTTCGCGTAGACTCTCTCCAACATCGCTCTCTCAACTTGCGCGACTACCACGCGAATTTCGCCCTTCAATTCGTCCAGAGTTCGGGGCTTGTCCGCGTATACTCTAGCCTTGAGGTGTCCCCATAAGAAAAAATCGCATATGGATAAATCTGGGGACCGAGGAGGCCAATGAACATCGCCAAACCTGGAAATAAGGCGACCAGGGAAGAGAGGGTGAATAACGTCCATGGATGCTCGGGCTGTGTGGGCGGTCGCCCCATCCTGCTGGAACCACACACGTCGGATTGGAACACGTCGCCGTCGTAATTCAGGGAGAAAGAAGTTGGTGATCATGTCGACGCAGCGCTCTGAGATCACGGTAACATCACGACCATTACCGTCTTCGAAGAAGTAAGGGCCAATGATGCAAGTTTGCGATACGATAGCCCAATAACGACAATTCTGCTGGTTAACCACGCTGTTTAGATGAAAGTGGGCTTCGTCACTCATAAACAAAATGAGGTTCTCATTTTGATCAATCAGTGCTTACATCTCACGTGCGAAGTTCATTCGTTGTGCATAATCTCCAGGCTGAAACTGTTGCACAATGGACAATTTGTAGGGGTGAAAGCGGAGATCCATATGCAAAATTCACCTTACCGAACGATAACTAAGGCGAAGTGGAGCAGCATGTTTCCGGGCAGATCGAGTCGGACTGCGAAGAAAGACCTGTCGAACGCGTTCAACATTTTCAGGAGTTCGAACTGTTCGCGGCGCTCCTCTTGGTCTTCTGTTGATCAGTTCACCACGCTTGCGAAGTAATTCAACTCAACGAAGGATGGTGTTTCGAGAGGGAACAGCTCTATTCCGATGAATGTTGAAGTGGCGACGAAACTCACGCTGTACGATGATGACTAAATCATTATTTCGGACGAAACAATCATAGGCGAAAACGCGGTTCTTCACCGTCCAAGGCTCCATAACGGCAACTGGTAAAATAATGCTAGGATCTCATGAGTCAAACGGCACCCTCCCCACCTCTCTCGGAGACGGAGGCGGAGAGTACTACCCATCCCAAAAACGTGCGTCCTCTCTGCCGCACCCTGTATGAAATGTGTCAGCGACATTCCAACTAAGAAAATGAGTAACCCCAGACCTGGAGACCGTGACCCTGCCTCAGTGGACCTAGATCTCTTCATTGATTTTCTTAGAAATAAGGAATGCACACCGCTATTGCACACAAGACTTGCAAACTCGCAAGGGGTCTTCCCGGTAATGCAAGCATATCGTGAAATGCCAATATAACTAAGGAGCTTAAAATTGTCTACGAACGAAATACCACGAATCAGCTTCGTGATACGGCTGCGAAAAAAAACAGGTAAGCGTAACCATAGGAAATCTACCAAGGTTGCCTATAACTCAGCCCGACGGTCTATTAATATGAAGAAAAGAAAAGTCTTGCGCTGCTAAACTTAGCTTTCCTGCTAAAAAGGTAGCTGAGCGTTCCCGTAAACGCATGTCTTTCACCTGATCCAACCTCAGAATGTCGAACTTATCGTTAATGTAGTGCAGGTACCTGGGGTAAAGACTCAAATCCAGACTAGTGCACTAACCAGTTAGCCAGTTACAGCGCATGTTCAGAGACTAGGCCAGCCTAGGATATCTGAGTAGAAACGAGATAATTCGAGTACATCTTCGCCAGTCACTGCTGTATCAAAAAATCATAGCCTTCGACACTGATAAACATTCTATCATCAAATCAACAAGTAGTACCAAAAATGACAGTCAACCGTCAAGAAGCCAGTCAAACACCAATATTGGATATGCCACAAGTGACATGTGAATGAGCCAGCGATCTGGCACAGCAAAAAGTCATCTGCCAAGCCACAGGATATGGCAAAGCGAGTAGTGCCTGCAATGATGGTGATGAATCCACAAGGAGTCTGTCCTAAGATTAAACTAACACCAGTAGTCGGTGCAAGGATGTAAACCCAGCTCGCCCTCCACCCAAGTAGCTGACCGAAGTATGCTACACATTCATCCCGGCTGGTTGACGTCAGAGGAATTTATCATAGGAGATGGGCTGAGACAGGGAGGAGTTCTGAGCCCGATATTATTCATTATGATTATGGATGATGTAATAAAGGCCGTCAAAAGCGAAATTAAAAAAGTACATGTCGGTTTCTAAAAAATGAGGCCAATAAATATTTCAGAGTGCTCAATCGCGGACGACCTGTTATTGTGCCCTAATACCCCAAAAGACTTACAAGATAACCTTAAAATCTGGATCCAGGAATTATCGAAGAGAGGTTTGAATATTAACGTATCTAAAACAAAACTGATGACGACAGCAGAGGGGAATGGAATAAATATAGTTATTAAGGGCGCCCGTATAGAACAAGTCGAAGCTTTCAAATATCTAGGAGTGGTAGTACAAGGCGATAGAACAATAGAAGAGGAAATCAACGAAAGATTAATGCACGCATCTAGGCTCTATCACACAATGAATACATCTTTCTTAAGGAAGAAAATGATAAGCAGAAAAATAAAGATGACCTTGTACAGAGTAGTATTCAGACCCATATTGACATTTTTGAGCGAGAGCTGGGTATTAACGAACAGGCAAAAAAGCAAGTTACAGGGATATGAAATACCTCAGGGCAGTCAAAGGGGTCGCTAGGAAAGACAAAATTAGAAACGAAGTTATTAGAGAAGAGCTGGGAGTGGAATCTGTACTACAAAGGATTGAAGACAACCAATTAAAATGGTTTGGGCATTTAGTAAGGATGAAGGATACAAGGCCAGTAAAACTCATATGGGAAGCAAGTGTTCAACAGAAAACGGCAAGAGGGCGACCGAAAAAGACGTGGAAAGATGGATTGGCGAAAATACTCAAAAACAGGGGAATAAGTTGGAACGAAGCAGTGGGCTAAATTTGTATACATATAATAACTAATAGTTTTAGAGAATGAAATAATCTAATTGCACCTTACACCTACGGGTATATAAGGTTTTAGATAATATATATATATATATATATATATATATATATACTTGTCGTCCAAGATATGACGTTATGCGCTTGTTAAAGTCGACAGGTTTGCGTAATATTGCATTAATAGACCACGAGTATTTATATCTCTAATAATTATTTTAAATTCATTTTAACTTAAAATTTATTTTTATACGATTTTCTTAAATGCTGAGACTTGGTTTATTTTAAAGCAGTTTTCAACCTTGCTTGGAAGGTTATCAAGTGGGGAATTTTTGCTTTTCGATGCCGGTTCATTGGTTTGATAACATGGACGTTTGATCTATTCCGGGGGTAAAATTAACTTCAAACGTCTCTAACTTGGAGCCAAGGGTTACAAAGAAACCTCTGAAATTAGAAATGGAGTCACATATCTACCTTCCTTTTTCAGTTAGATGAACCAGCTTCCAATTCCTGAACCACATCTTTTTGGATATCCTGATGTGTTCGCGACTAAAATGATGGGTCCAGTCCAGGTTCCATATCAAGGTTTTGCTCCACGGCCAGCTCCATGACAAGGACCTTATCCTTACCCGATCCAGTTTCTACACCAACATGTTCCCATTATGCAAATACGGTCGCTCTTTTCTGTTGCCTAAGACTTTGAGGTAACTTAATTTCAAATTGGATTGTGTGATTTACGTATGTTTAATCAAAGTTTAACTTTTGGTCAGCATATAACTAGAAAAAAACGTAAGAAGCGTTGGTTACTTATGGCTTCATAGTAAGGAACTGCAGAAATTTACATATAATAAAGGCCATTAAGCTGTTATTTATTTATTGCCACAGAAATTTTACATTAATAAACTCCATAAGGAGATACATAGTAAATACCTGGAGAGAGGGGGATTAATACCTCTGTGCTCAGGAGCCATAAAAAATATTATGTACTAAACTAAAATTAATATAAACAATAAAAAATTATATATAAAGTATAAAGAATTTCATAAGCATAGGGTGTTTTCAAAGTCGAGTCATTTTAACAGCTTGTAGAACTCGTCAAAAGTAGTTGATACATCAGAAATCACCTATATAAAAGTTGCATAATTAGAGAGTTAGTTCACATTATCAAAAAATGTTTAAGAAAAATCATTATCAAGTTAAATTGATACCATTTTTACAAAAAGTGTTGAAAATTGTCCCCATTTTCCCAAGCTTCGAAAATAAAATATTGGTGTCTGCGAATTAAATCACAAGCATTTTCAGTGCGCTGTTGAAGTCCTTCCAGAGTATTTAGAGCTCCATCACGGTACACCAACTCTTTAAAATCAACCCACAGAAAAAACGCAAGGCGATAAATCCGGACAGCGAGCAGACCAAGAAATGGCTCCATTGCGTCCTATCCACCCTTCCGGAAACTCATTATTTAGATCAGGAGTTACCAACCAGGGGGACGCGCCTGCCAAGGCGTTTGCATTTTAGAAAAAAAAAACAAACGACATTAACAAATAACATTACAATGTAATGACTAATTTACTCACATAAAAATAAAAATTTAATATCATATTCACTTATTCTGTCAGCCGCTGTTTCAAAACCCGGCGTCGTCAATCGCAGTTCATGCAAGTTTGGAAAAGACAATATGAAACCCGCGCGCATCCCCACCGCGCTCCACTTAACATTGATCACTTAGAAAACTATTGTGTACTTTCCAAACGCGGATGAGCATATGTGACATTCATTCCCACAAACTTGTGAATAATTTGACGTTTCGTTGTACATGTTTTGTTGAGAAATCTGTTTGAGTGTGTCAAATTGTTCTGTCTCACAGTTAAAAGGTAAGTTTGTGTTTTTACAAACTTCAGTTACCATTTTTATTTAATTTACCAAATTGTCGATTAAGTAGAGACGCGTTCATAGATCGGCTATTGGGACTTTTTTACCACATCACAATCAAACCAACGTGGCGAAATACTTTTGAAACGACGAACTTTAAGTACATCATATTGATTCCAAATGTATATGAATATTCAGGGGTTCATATCAAAGCTTCATCTTTGGAATCGAAAAGTGTCTTCTGAAAATGTTATATTTTTCTCTCGGCTGTTCGAAGCAATTAAAAATAACATACTGGGCGTAAATTTAAAAGCTGACACATTTGCAAGCGCTGGAAGACGAATTTCGCCGATACTATCGAGACATCAATTCAGAGTCACCAATATGGCACATGACAAGAAATCCATTTGTTGTCAATGTGTCACAACTACCAGAAGAAGTTCAGGAAGAATTTCTAAAAATTAAGGCTGATTCGTCCATGAAGGATGACTTCCATCTTTTAGCATTAGAGAAATTTTGGATCAAAAGATTGCCTGTTAATTCGACACTTGCCTCTCTTGCTTTACGAATATTAAAACTAAACGGCGAAATCGTCTTGATGTCGATAGCAACCTGATGATAGCTCTGGCAAAAACAGAACCTAGAATCAACCAACTGGTACAGAACATGCAATCTCAAATGTCTCATTAGTACCTACTCTTATTTTATTCCTTTATTAGAATTAAAATAAAAATCTTTGTATCGATATAATGTACGTTTTTTTGTATTTATTGAAATAGTAAAGGGGGCATGAAAATATATTTTATAGTCCGGAGAGCTTCAGCAAAAAAAATGAAAAGGCTATGTTGAAAATTCTTTTTACAGCATGCGGATTTTATGCTGCCCAAACATGATTCTTATGTGGCCTCATCAGTGCCTCTATTCTTGATTTTAATAGAAAATCACACTCTCCCTCTTTTTCTACTCCCGCGGTTTTCTATCGATTTGAAAATACTGTATTCTTGAAAGGACTCGATAGAAAGGAGAAAGGAAATCAAGACACAGGGTTTTCAGATTTGGGTAAACGTGTTAAACCAATCAAAATGGAGATATTTTTGACAGTAAAAAAACTAACCAAAGATTTTGGTCATGATTTCCTCCTTATAATTTTATCTACGGAGCCGAAAACTTTAAAAAACACATTTCAAATGAACAAAAGGACAAAATGATTGAATTTCTCCGGGAGCACCTGGGAAAATTCAATCATAGGTTAAAAGATACTGTTTTAGGATGACTAAAACTTAATATCTACTCATCTACTCTTGTCTTTGTTGTGATCGAAAGTGCAGAAGCTCATGGGAGTGGTTATATGAATGGAGTCAATATCTCCAGCAATTCATACACCAAATCTTTGGTCAAGCTAAACATATGTACACATTTTCGATCCGAAATTATGAAAGGATCTCGGCGCCCAAGAATATCTCTCCCAATCTCTCAGTTCTCAACATCCTCGTTAATAATATCGTTCCAATACATCAATTGATTGAAATTAACCAATATGTTTAGCAGGAACGATAATAACAATGCCAAATACACTTCAATTTTTAGGTTATATGGCGCTATTTTCTACTAATTTTTCAGGTTTCTCTTGGTCGGTACCAAGAGAAATCGCGACTCCCTAAAGTGAATTCATTTCTATCACTTTCCGGTAGAATTGATTTCAAGAATACTGCATTTCTTGGCCACACCCTACTTTTTGACACTTTCTCTCACAATTTCTACTCCCTCAAACTCAAGAATAGAGGTCCTGCACACAAAATTAATTTCCTAAAATTTTAATTCTTGACGAATTGTTCGAAAAGCCACGGGCAAAATGCAACTTTTCTAGGATGATTTTCAGGTTGTAACGCTTGTACCCGTTAATAATGATAAGGATAACACTGTTATTATGCTACTTTTATATGGGTGATTTTTGTCCTACAAGTAGCTAAAATAATTTAAACAACTTTGAAAACCCTGTATAGTAATAATATAATATAATAAGCTGTTATATAATGCATATGTTTATTCAGAAGTTGAATATTGTGGTATTATCTCATACCCTTACTATGAATGGTATAACACAGCTATTGAAACAGTAGAGCGGATAGCGGATGTTTTCAAAATTTGTTTTGTTCAGGATTGGCATAACATATCCAGCGCGAGGTGCAATCAATAGGAACTGTGTAGTCGTTTGAAACAAAGTAGTGGCTGTGCGTCATTATTATTTGCTTACTATGGTAACTGTTCAATAATTTAATTTATTGCTCTACAATCCTAAGATAAATTAAAGTTAATAAAATCCAAATACTGAAAAATTTTCGAGGAGTCCTTTGAAATTAGAATTAAAGAATCACATACCTACCTTCCTTTTTCAGTACGATGAACCAGATTCAAATTCCTGAACCACATCGTTTTGGATATCCTGCTGTGTTCCCGAGTCGAATGATCGCTCCAATCCGGGCTCCATATCCAGTTACTATTGGCCCAGGTCCGGCTACAATTCCACCACTTTATCCTTACCCGATTTGGTTTAAAAACCGATTGGTGCAAGTACGGCAGCCAAAGGCCAACAATTTGGTAGACACACCATGTGCGAGGCCGCCCTCTAACGATACGTTAATTACGTTCCCTTGTCCCACCTCAAGGAGTGTCGTCAGCATACAGTCTTCCCTTAAGTTTTCGCAACAGTGGCGTCTCGTGGCTCTATTTGCTTTGCGGCAGACCCTGCAGTTTTGAATAAGTTCAATGAATTGGGAATTCCTGGGCCACAATTCGAGATGTCCTCTTAAATAATTATAAAATTATACATAGCATTTAGGTAAAACATACGGTGACTCTCTTCTGAAATTTTAATGTAATTTTATCAAAATTAGCTTTGTTGGAACTACGCAGTCTTTCGTTAGTTTCACCTGCTCCTCTCTAATGATAATTTCCAAACCGCATCTGTCAACGCGTACGTCGACAGTAGAATCGTATCCAGCCTGGCGCACTTAACTCCTATCAGCTAGGGGAAAATTCTAAAAACCTAGCTGTTTGTCTCCTCTTTTTCATATTTTCCCACAATCATGACAAATATTAGTAATATGCTAGCCTTCGGAAGTCTTAGATATCCCATGATACGCCTCTGACGCGTGACCGTTCAGTGCCCGGGTTAGCTTCTAATGGTGCGTTTTCACGCTCATGCAATTTGCGCAAATTGACTTGTGCATGCCAATTTGTGCAAGTGAATTGGTACATGAAAACGAAAATTGTTTACTTGCGCAAGCCAAAAAGTTTAGCTTGAGTAAAATCTGGATGGTCAGATAATTTGCATGTGGTTGGCACAAATGCATGAACGTGTAAACAACGCACCAATTCGACGCATGCGTAGTGGGTAAATAATAGTAAACAGAACGTGCACGTGGCTTTAATTTTCGGCTGTTGTACGGTATTTTGTTGTGATAAATAATGTCAAAGAAAGAAAAAGAGTTCATGGTAGAGTTTATGAGCTCTATAAATCTTTTCCTTGTCCTTGTCTGTGGAAGGTGAAATCAAAACAATACAGCGACAGAAATGCTAAGTCTAAGGCGTATGATATTCTCGTGGAAAAAATGCGCACAGTTGAAGAGAGTGCAAATCGAGAAATTGTAGTAAAGAAAATAAATTCTTTAAGAACGACGTACAGGGAAGAATTAAAAAAGTTCTAGATTCTGAGAGGTCCGGTGTAGGCACCGACGATGTATACGTTCCACATCTGTGGTACTTTGAGTTACTCAGCTTTTTGCGGGACCAGGAAAGTCCAAGAACCTCTGTGTCAAATATGGAAGACGACAATGAAACGCAGGTAAATTTCTTGTTGTTATTTATGCACCTAATAATTCATTAATACATTCAGTGTTGGATCCACGGGGGGGACGGGGGACTGGGGAGGAATCCCCCCAAAAAAGGTTTCCACAATGTATGACATCGAGGTAGCACTGGAAGAAGTATTGAAAAGATTTTCTAAAATGGTCAAACATCGTATAAATTTCAATGTATAAAATTGATGTTAATATTTACATTCAAAATAAAAAATATTTCTCTTGACGCATTATCACAAACATTACATTTTCGAATTCCCCCCCCCCCCAAAAAATTTCCTTCTGGATCCGTCCCTGAATACATTAGTAAGTGTCGTTAAATACTTGGGTTAGAAACCATTTTATGTTGCCATGAAACATTACCAGAATTATTGAAATAAATTTCAAAACTTTTCCTCACTTTTGCCTTCGGTAGTGTAGATTGTGACTGCTTGCAAGATCTAACAAACTGTGATTCTGTGTTCGCAGTCCCTGGGTAATGACACCAGTAGACGTATCTTCAACGTCAAATACGTCAAGAGGTGTATATGAATTCACCGAATTTCTGCGTAGAAAATTGTGAAGTGCACAGCATGCCAAAACAACTTTGACAATGTTATCAGCTTTTAAATTAATACATGTATGAAATACTCTAAAACGATTAGCCAGAATACCAAAAGTATTTTCTACTACTCGTCTAGCTCTACTCAAACGGTAGTTGAATACTTTTTTTGGATAGTCCAGCTCTCTTTGATTATACGGTTTTAAAAAATCGTGTCGTATTGCGAATGCTTCGTCTCCTACAAACACATAATTCAATGTTGGTTCACCGGGTACAACTGTCTCTGGTGGTGGCAAATTAAGTTTATTTGCTGCCAAATACTTCATAAATTTGGTGTTTTCAATGACCCCTCCATCAGATACTCGACCGTTGGTTCCAACATCACAGTATATGAACTCGTAATTAGCATTTGCAATTCCCATTAAAACTATGCTGAAGGTTTTCTTATAATTAAAATAATATGATCCACTTCCTACGGGAGCTGTAATTTGCACATGTTTGCCATCCATAGCGCCTAAACAATGTGGGAAATCCCATCGTTCTTGAAAATCCAGTGCAATTTTCTTCCATTCCTCTGTAGTTTTCGGAAACTGTAAAAAATAATTCAATGTGCATAACTACTAACTGTATCTTTTGTACGTAATATGTGGATCATTTACTAGTTTTTCTTTTTAGAATTCTGAGACACATGGAGTTCAGTCCGAAGATAATTCGTCTCAACCAGCCACCCCACATTCAATTATATCTGAACCACTTACACCTCGGCCAATACCACAAGCAACTTCTAGAGCAGCAAAAATGCGTAACGATAAATGTGATGAAGTCCTGGATGTAACTCAGAAACGCTTTACAATGCCTTCTGATGTTGACGCCAAGTTTACGCTCATTGGAAAAGCTTGGGCCTGCAAGTTAAAGGAACTTTCGCAAGTACAAGCAACTCGGAACTCTAAATCGTTATTGTACCTTGCATATACAACATCCATTATACAATCAGCAAATAGTACCGTGTTTACAACCAGGGTCATCATAAAATCATCAAATCACGCCATCTTTGCCGACGCCTCCTTTACAAACAGGACCATCCTCTCAGCACCAGATACAATCAAGTTCACAAACACTTCTGCGATCTTCTCTTTTTTTTGTCTTTAGGCACTTTTAACTTTTTAATTAAACAAACACCAGCTACTGCTAATAATTCGTCTTCGTAATCCATCTTCAGCTTTGCCCAACGACAATCTGAACTGTACTTTTTTAGACAAACTTGTCCATGATTCTGGGCCGGTAAACTGTACGTTAGGACGCTCACACCAATTCAGTTTAATTTGCGCAAATTTGCATGCATAAGTTGATTGGCGCAAATAACTTGAGCGTGAAAACGCACTATAACATATGCTAACCAAATGGTTGAGTTTCAAGTTTCTCAGCACTCCTTTAGTTGTAAAACTTTATAGTTATAGCAACCAAATGTTATTACAGAATAGATCTCCAAACCACGCTTTTGTCCCGGCCTAAATGTCCAACTTTATAGCATCCAGCTCTATTATCTGTTTTCTTCGAAATATGGATTTCATTTCCCTTGGCGTTCGCTGGGTGGTTTGCAGATGCGAGTGTTTGTTCTGTCCTTAGTTTTTATGTTTATTTTTATTTTATGGACGAATTTTTACAAGGGTAGGCAGCATGACGAATTATTTCAACGAATTTAGAAATTGATAACTTGGTTGGCTACAAAGCGCTTCTTGTTGGGATCGGTGGTGGGGGAGCCGACAAATACGACGGTGTTGCTCAATTTTGCCTAGCGTCATCCGCTATAAACAATCTCTAGAGATCTTATACCTCGAAACAACACATCTATTGCCAGAGTCCCAGATTATGCTGGCTTATTTTAACAGTTAATTTATTAGATCGAAGCAGTAAAAGAAGACAAAGGACAATTTATTCGTCAGACTTACCATAAAGTGGGCCAGAAAGTTCTTGTTTCGATGGGATGCAGCGTTTACCGTGGGCTGATGGACTGTCTAAATTAGCAAAAATGTTTACTTAAGTTTCCTCATCTACGCCGACGTCAAACAGAGACGAGACAGAGACCTCATGTGACAAAAACCATAAATGTTGGCAGAACTTTTTAAAGCTTCTTTTAAAATATATTTTTCAATTGTTTCGTAAGAAGCATAAATCCTCGTTAAGTGCTTATACCGCTGAAATGCATTGCAACCACGGTTTCACGTATGTTATAACGATGAACAGACAGATATCTAACAAAGCTACCTTATTCTTATTAGAAAGTTTGAGCCCTTGTACTTGATAATGCTATTTTTAATGAATAGATTGCTCTGGCCATCCATCGAGCTCGATGCATGGCGCCTGGCGGAATCCTGAAGTTTTTCTCTGTAACCCCGCCAAGGAATGTTATTGAAAGTTCTATTAGTTCTCGTCTAATTTGGTTCAATTTCTGCATAAGAACGTCTGATAGCTGTCGTTTCGCAGATTGGATAATTCTGCAGGAACATTGTGAAATAACCTTTCCTTTGTTTCAGTCGGTCAGCTTAGGTTCATTATCCTGCGAAAAGATAGATGATAGATATTTCATTGTTCCCCATTTTTTCAGCAATGTTATTCAAGTTATTGCACAAAATGTCAACAAACTTGTCTGTACATAGTGCTTTCCAATACCATTCCACGACATAAAGCCACAGACAAAATGTACCTGCCACCATGTTCCACTGTTAGGCTGACATGTTGATATTCTTATTTATTTATAGATCTTACTTATATATATGGGAAAAAACATTATTATACATTATGATGAGGAAGAGAGATGGAAATATCCAAAGTATGTAGGTGCGTGAAAGACACTCGATTGTAGGATCCTATCTGGCAGCGTCGGAGTGTGACGGACAACGGGTAAAGTAGAAGAATGATAAAAGAGAGAGGCAGAACGGGCGCTGGCGCCCGCTGCTTAGACGGATGCGCTCAACAAATGCGATTTGTTTCTCCCATTCGCAGAGTTGCCGATACCAATATGCCATATTTCTAAGAAATCTAAGTCTACCCAAATTTCGGGAAAAATAGCTGCGGATTCTACATAAGAGTATTCCAAAAATGAAAAAAGTTCAAACTATTAAAATTGTATTAATGTTTCATGGTTCAAATCATATTTTTCATGTTTGTATATTGTTGTATAAATGATTTTGTAATCCCTATTCTTGTCGCCAGTAGAAATACAACAGTATTGAGAGAAATCATGGACCGCTAGATAGGGCTACAACTACCATATGACTATCAAATAGTAGTGATAAACAGGGTTTGTTTATAGCACAGTTGCCTGGTGTGGCGAATTTGCGCCACAGGGGCGATTTGACAACTTTGAAGGACAACTATAACGGGTACTATGGTGCCCGGTATTCGGGAATCTGGCAATATCTGATGATTCCTAACGTTTATTACGCCAGATTGTTTGCTGACTTGCGCAGTACAACATGACAATCAACGTGACTGAGCACCTGGTAACCCTGGTTTAAGGTGTTATATTAAAAAGCTTGGGGCAGTTAGGTATCTAGGTCACATTTTTTAATGTATTTCGAGAAATCCGTAATGTTGAGTAAATACTAGATCACGTTTCTTGCTTAGTTTGCCGAAAATTCTACAATAGACGTACATTTTGAGAAACAGAGATTTGGTTACGACAAAATCTTAAAAATATAACGCATTTTCGTAAAATAATTTCTTTGTTGAAAAGACTGTGGCTTGATGACCCACTGAACGAGGATAGTGTCCCGCTCCGCTTTGAATATTCGAAACACTATACTCCAGCAGCACTCAGCTTCAATGTTATCTTTATGAAGTTCTAAAGTCTAGGCCATGCTGATTAAAAGCTTGAATGAATCAACACTTAACTCTAAATTCCCCACAATTCGGGAAGCTCTACTCAAATTGGCAACACAGCGTATCTGTCTATTATTCTCATTGAGTCGATAGAAGAAGTACAGTAGATGCGCGCATTACGCACCAGTTCGATTGGACGTCCTGTGAACCGATTTCGCTGATTTTGAGATTTCACGAAATCACCTACATCACTCTACTTATTTTTATGAATGGATAATTGGTTTTGTAGCAATAAAGGTTGCGTCTCATAACAAAATAACAAAACAAACATAACGTTGCGTCTCATAACAAAAAATAGTACACTCTTAAAAATGTGTAACGAAAATAAAAAGATATTCTAACAAAAAAATAAGTTCTCAAAAATGAAACGCAATAATAAACACAAATGTTTCAAATGGTCCTTCACAGCTGGGGCTCAAAAACGTCTCCTTCATTCAATGAACAGTATGTCAGGCGGTTATAAAACTCCTGACGAACTCTCCAGAGGGTAGAAGGCTGTATTTGCCCGAGCGCTTCAACGATTTTCACCTGTAGGTTATGCAAATTGTCTGCTCTCTCATTGAAAGTGTAAACAGTACTTTTCACATAACCCCACAAGAAGAAATCAGTTGGGCGCTGGATCGGGTGATCTAGGAGGCCATTTTATTGTTCCGTTACCGCCAATAATCCGCTGGCCGAACACACTTTCAAGGTAAGTGTGTACGATCGCCGCATTATGCGCCGGGCATCCATCTTGTTGGAACCAAATATTAGCGAGATCAATGCCAAGCTGCCTAATTGCAGGAACAATCTGCGTCTGTAGTAACGCCAAATATTTTGCAGCCGTAAGAACGTAAAGAACGGTCCGATAATGTTATTACCTAGAATTCCTGCACACACATTCAGTTTCTGTGGATACTGCGTCGGACGGGAATACTGAGGTGTTTATTTTCCTGAGACCAATACCGAACGACTGAAGGATTGTGATGACCGTGGAGAGGGAATGTTGGTTCATCAGTAAACAAAATGTTACCAATAAAACTTCCATCCCTGTTCGCCTTCTCCATGACCGTTTCACAAAACTAGATTCGACGGTATTTGTCTAAAGAAAATATTTCTTGAACCGTTCCAACCTTGAAGCTATGATAGCCGTTGCGATGCAAAATATTTCTAGTTGTTCTGGGTGTGAGATCGGCTATTGGTATCATTTCAGCAATTTTTCTGCTTGAGCATGGCTCAGATACTTCTGCAGCGGCACAAACAGCAGGTTCGATCTCCTGCCTTTTCTCGCTAATTTTTGGTTTCCAACCTTCAGGGTGCATGCAGCTATGGCACTTATGTAAGCAGCCCACCCTCTTGAATTTTTCGTAGGTATTTATAACCGTTGCGTGAGACGGTGGATGTACCAATCTATCATTTGAAACTTTTCTTCTTGCGAGTACATTTTTAAGATATTTTGGATTAAATAAAGACGCACCTTTCCTACACAAAACCCAACCGCAGAGTGAGTCATAAATCCCTTATCGCACTTGACAACGGCACGCGCGTTATCGGTAGGAAATATGTACGAATAGCGATGAAAGTAGACGAGCCGATGCGCTGTTGCCATGAAATGATTTCCCATGTATAACAATGGTTTTTCCTAAGGTGTATATATACATATCCTTGAAATTCTTTGGGATGAATAAAAAGTTTTGCAGAAGTATGCCATTAACTTAAAGTCAAGTTTGCGACGGTCTATGCCATCATCATCAAGGGACTAGGACAAATTTTGGAAAGTAGCAACAATATGTAATTGAAAGGAGTATCGTTATTTACTGAGTCGGTGAGATTTGTTGCTGAAATTGTTGTTAGAACGAAGTAGAAGACAACACATAGTTAATGAGCAAAAAGCTGAATTGTTGAGGTTAAATTAGGAAGAGCTTATTTTAATTAATAATTATTGGTAAAACCATAGCTATGCTTGCTTTTTTCAAGAAAACACTGACGGATTTATTAACTTATTGAAAAAACTTTCGAACAATAATTTTTACCGGAAACCACTTCGTCTTTATCACGTGCTGAAACTGACGAAATGGATGAGTGACGTGTGACGTTCACATTATTGACACACCATCGATCAAGAGAAAAAAGGAGAGAGAGAGAGAGAGAGAGAAAAGAAAGGGATAGAAGACCTATGATGTGTTGCCTACCTTGTATGGAAGTGTTAAGATGAAGGTGGTTACAGCATAAAAAGAAGTTCAAAATCTATTTTCAAATTAATAAATATCATTATGGATGGAGTGTGT